CAAAAGGTAGAAAGCGGAAAATCATAAAAGGGAAAACATTCTAAAAATTTGTCATGCAAATAATGCGTGGATTGTCTCATGTCTCAAACATAACTAAAAACTGACATGACTGAAAAGGCTGACAACATGCGGAGCAAAGTGGCGCTCGCACGCGCCCCCAACTTCCCCCCCCCCACCCAAGAACTCCCCGGAACAAACTGTTTGGTACGCTTCGCTCCCCAAACTAGGCTTGTACCGAGGAGTACCTACAACACAAAGCCCAAGGGGCTTAAGAGAGTGGGGTTAGGGATAGGGAAGCAACAAGATGCAAAGACGCCACCTTCGTTTTGGTCCGCACAGCCCGAACTCGAATTCAAATGTCCGAAAGCACATGGAGTCATCGAAGGAACATAATCCCCCATCTAAGACGGAGAAGGCTCCATGTGCACTGAGATCATTTAACCGTTTAACCCCACTGGCTCTTCTCGAATCTGATCCTTGGGGTTGAACCGACATCTTCCAGAGTGGATATCCTGATATCATCAATCTCCGACTGAAAGTTCGCAAACCTCAAGAGAGGAGAAAGAACTGACATGGTCATATCGGACCAACTGAAAGGGATCCTCAGAGATTCATCAAAGTCCGAGAAGTTGTGCTTCGTGATGCGATCGGCCTTCTGATTGGAGTCCCTCGGCCTCCAGCTCAAATTGCATCTGAAGCCGAGGCCATCGCAGAAAGTCACGAACTCCATCACGACGAACATCAGAGGGACTCGAGTGGTAAGCAGCTTGCAAGAAAGCGCATCGGCAGATTTATTATCCGTCCCCCCGCAGAAACAAGCCTGAAAGAGACCAGGTCCATCCCAGATGCTCCGAAAGTCACGTTTCAAGATATGCAAAGCTGCCAGTGACGCCAGCATCTCGGCCGACGTGCTCGCCCATGAGCTGCCGAGGCCTTCCTTGAAAAGCCAAGGGACACTTTCCTTATCAAGAGCGATCTGAAACCACGGTGCCTTGCCAGGGTCCGGCCCCTTGTGAAGGAACCATCCCCCGAGAACAATCGAAGATTCATCGCAAGCAGCATCCGTCCTGAAGAGCTCCCCGAAGTCCTTTTCAAGGCGGCCTGAATCATAAGTCCTCGCCCCAAGTCTCAAGCGATCCGCGATAAACCTCAAGACACATCTGATAAGGTTCGGCAGGGAGAGAACCGCGCCTTTGCGCACAGCGGCGAGCCAGGCGTATCCAGGCGCTAAGAAAGGGCGGATCCAGACAAGTACCTGGGACATAAACCCAAGTCTCCCGTGCAGCTCGTGGAAGCGTCTCACGTCCACCAGCCATCCGTTACCTTCCATGCCCTCAATGCCACGGATGATCCAATGGCATCTCTTCTCTGAGATCCCCAACTTGAAACGACCATAGTCGATCCAATAACCTACCCAGTCAAGCTGAAGGCCGCCGCGCCATTTCTTCTCTGAGAACGGAGTTCCCTGCATACACAGCAAAGCCAACGCCATCCAAAGATTAATCCATCGCTCCGGACCACCGCTCAAAAGATGCAAGTCATCAGCATATATCAGCATGAAGACGAATGCCTCCAAAAGGATCCGGAAGGTGAGGCGGCCAACCAAGCCAATGAGGCGAGCAAACCAATAAGCCGCCGACGCTATGCCGAAAGTCCCAGTCCGATTTAACCAGACCACCGAGGAGTCGCTCCGCGATCGGCACGCCAGCACCCCCCAGTGATCCGGATGGTGCAAGTACCTCCGGTGAGCCTTCTTCACGTCCCCAACCAGCCCGAAGAGCACCTTCTCGTCGGAGACCGTGCCCAACTTCTGGATAGAAGAAACCTCCCTGGCCCCCGGAGATTCAAGACGGTCCTTCATGACGATCTCATTGTTTACCTGGACCCCGTGAGTCCCGTCATGGACCACTCTGAAGTCCTGGTCAGGTTTCGGAATCACTGCCTGAGCCGCCACGCGAAGCGACGATCCAGGATAGCGCTGGCGCGCCTCCGCCAAAGACAAAGGGAACATCCGGCCCTCTGCCTCCTCCTTTGCGAAGGCCTCAAGCAAAGATTTCTCCACCTCAGGGCCG